TAACCACTATGTGAAGATGACTTTTAAAATACTTCTTATCCTTCCCCACTGTGGTTCTGTGGATCCAAGAACACAGAGTAACTTGGATGTTCAAAGTAGGAAAGGTTTGCATAATAGGTACTCAGTTCAGCATAACTAAGATAAAATTAGCCACAAAGATCTAGATTCTCTAGTTACTGGCACCACCAGGGTTTTATAACCATCATTACCCATGATCATTTCATACGAAACTACAATAATAGGTGTGGTGACACATCTGAGGTCTCCTCCTATATTAGTGTGGCGGGACACATCAGATGTGTCACCAACAGAGAACAGGCATGGTCAGACCAAATTCAGCGGCCACTTTCCCCCTCATTCTCATTTGTTTTCTCTAGTTCCCCAGATGTTTTAGTTTTTCTAATTATTACCCACAGAATTTTTTAATATTGCTTTTTTTGCTTTGTGTTTATTTCTACTTTTTACAATTTTTTTGTAAAAGTTGCATGTTAACCATTATTTAAAGAGTTCATTTAACAGCATGGAGGTTTGCTTCAAAGATTTGATAGAAATCTTTAAAAATGGGATTTTTTTTTTCTCATTTAAGTCTTACTTCAACAACTTCACTGATTTTAGATTTCTCTGACAAACATAGTTGAGGTATCAAAACCCAGACATGTTGTTAATAGCTTTTTCTTGAAGTCATTTAGAATGTAAGACTTTCTGCCCTGCTATTTCAAATTGCCCAACTTAGGAATAAGATGAGTCTATGTACATGTTTACAATCCCCACTTCCTTGCTCCCTACCTCCCCTTCCCAAGAAGAGAATTAAATTAAAGAAGTCTCTTTGCTTCAGGGGCGGTAGACAGCAATGAAGTCTGGGACTGTAAACAGTCTATACAAGGAGAACTCACATTGTCCTCTGAAACTGATATACTTAAGCTCTCCTATTTTCTAGGACCCTATCAGAGATACTTCTGTCACAATGTTTGTAGTAAATTAATGAATTAATGATGATTTTCTTTGTTGCTTTGTTTGGGCAGAGCCTTTCAAAAAAAGATTTTTCTGGGAGATAACTGTAGTACTTTTTCTTATTCTTTATAAGATAAACACACATACACACGCACACACACAGAGAGAGAAAGAGAGAGAGAGAGAGAAGCAACCTAGTGTGCAAGCAGTATACTTAAAAACCATTTTCATTTTCTCCTGTTATAGGAAACTGTAAGTCTGTAAGTCTTTCCGTTGAAAAAAATATTTGTTACATCATAGAATTTAAGAAACTGGGAGTGATCTGAGATATTATCCTGTCTAACCTTCATTTTATAGATAAAGCAAATGAAACCCTGGGAAGAGAAGTGTAGGGTCACAAATATTTTGCTGTTCCTTCTGTTTATAAATGTAGTATCACCGCTCCCCTCTCCTGTGTCTGGGCAGGCTCTGTAACTGGTTTGACCAATAGAATACAAATGACAGCTTCTACTTCCTAGTTCTTGCTTGCATTTGGGACTTCTCATTTCAGAACCCAACCACTATGCTGTGAAAAGCTGAACTACATAAGGCCCTATATTGCTGCAGCTGTCAACAACCACAGCTAAGCCCCCAGCTGGCAGTTAACATGCACTTTCAGTCATGTGACTATGCCATGTAGCATGTCCAGACTAGGCAAACCCTTGGCAGATTCCATCTCCAGCCAGTATCTGACACCAATCACATGAGAAACCTTAAGCAAAAATTGCCCGGCTTTTCCTGGTCAACCCATAGATTAGTGAGAGATAACAAATAGTTGCTTTAAGCCACTAAATTTCAGGATGGTTTGTTACATAGTAAAAGCTCACTGGAAATGAAAGTGTCTTAGATCAAAGCTTCTAAGCAATACCAGAGTAAAAACCAGAACTCAAATATCACCCCAAACCTAATATAATCTCATCATAATGTGTTAAGGTAATATGTCAAGTTAAATGAGATCCAGTTTCAATCTCCCAATAGTTCATAATTCCAAAAGATTTTACTGTTTCAAAATTCACAAGGAATGCATAATTTCCAAACTTCTTAAACTTTAAAACAAATTCTTAGAGCTACGTCTACATAACAGTAAACTACCATTTAGTACAAGGTAACATTCCTAAGTTTCCTTGAAAGTAGTGTCTTAGTAAAGTGCCATGAAAGAAAAAGAGATAAGCTGATTTGGGGAAAGCTCTTGTTTAAATTAAATTAAAAAGATCTCTTTGCTTCAGGATTTTTCAAGAATGTAAATTTTCCAAGCAGAGCTATAGATAGTATTTATTTTCTTAAAATTATATGACCAAAGTACCCTTCTTCATCGAAAAACTAAACTGAGAAATAGGAAGAGGAATTCAATTTTGTCAGCATAAACCAAGTTTTGCTTTCAGAGGATTTCATAAAAAGAAGTTGTTTTCACAATTTGGTGTGTCTTCAGCTTAGAGAACACATTTTTAGATAACACTTTTATGACTGTCAGGGACTATGCTTAGTTATGTCTTTCACAATCTGTTCCCATTGCTTTCCTCCCTTACTTTTAACATTCTTTTGTGTGTAAAGCTAATAAATCTTTCTGGAATGTGTAGATGAAGGTATAAAAGTGGATACATAATAAATAATTTAATTAATTAAAAATTATCCTGTAATGTTTTATTAATAATGTCAATGACTATGAATAGGCTTAAAGGTTTTTGAGTCAACCCTTCATTTAGTTTAATAACCTGGGAATTAGCTCCAACTCTAATTAGCTTGGTTTGGGTTTTGTATCTTTATTTACATCTAAGGCCAACTGAAATTGTAACACTTGCTGAACCTAACAGGGTTCTTGGGAAATTCAAAGGAAATTTCAGAGTTGGAGGTAGAACGGTTTTGGACTGCACAAATTGTAGTAATCATGTATTCATCCGCCCCTTTCATTTTCTAGTTCTGGAGATTGAGATCCATAAAGAGAGTCTGTAGCCACATTGGAAACCTCCTTCCCCCGGATCCAAATTAAAGATGTTAAGAAAGCGCCCTTTTTCAGTAGATGTTATATTGAATGATGTGATTCTAATTCACATGCTGATTGTAAGAAGTTTTACAAGCATCTGGGCCACAAAAACTTATTTCTCCACAGAATTCATGGCTGGTATAGGAAAGTGAAGCAACCAAAACATTCAATAACCTGTAGGGCATGGGCATGGACAACCAGAGTAGACACCAGCCATAAACAATGGGTGCAGCCATGCTGATGAGGATGAACCATACTGAATATCAGCTGAGCTCTATGGATCTAGTAAATCACATTTCTCTGTTCTTGCCGCTGGTTTGTGGCCTTGTGAATACTGTCATCTTATTCCTATTAGAATTTCTTCCATTCAGGCTGTCTCTTAAAATATACTTGTGGTACTGATATTCATAATACAGGTATGGATCAACTTACGACCTACGCAGCTTACGACCATTCGACTTTATGACCACAATCGCTAGCCACGACTGCTCCGCATCTGGCAGCGCAAACGTTGCCCAGCTGGGCGGACGACAGTGCAGACCAGCTTCCGGCAGCACTACCATCTCCGCGTGCACCATTTCAACTGTTATCCCAGACTCGGTACAGCAATTGGTGTTTTGTGTCTTGGATATTTATCATCAAACCCCTCCCAATAAACTTCTTATACATTTCGAAGCAATAGACCCAAACATCGAACGATTTGCAAGGATTGAACGGATGGTGCACGATGTGTTTCGTCCGTATCGTGAAATTTATGAAGAAAAAAAGAAACATACAATTCAGACAAAGTTCACCATGTTTATGAAAAAACCAACTCTGGTAATGCCAACTGCTGCCTCAGATGACGACATCAACCATCCGCAGCCAAGCACCAGCGGCCAATAAAATGTTTCGTACATGTTTATATATTTTGATGTGTTTTGCAATTGGGAAAATGTTTCCTATGGTATTTTTTACACCTGTATTTTGTATTTTTGTATGCACCTGTATTTTGTAATTTTGTATGTTTTGCAAATATTAAACCAGTTGTACTGGTAATGCAGTGTTTTACTTAAACCTGACAAATGTAAAAATAAGAAACAAAATGGTGTAGAGATGATACAAATGGCATAAAATGAACAAAGAAAATTATGATATATAACAATAATGAAAGAAAATTATGATAAAATATGACTTAAAGATTTTTATAACATCATTTCACAGTACTGTACATATAGCCTACTCAACTTACGACCAAATCGTGTTATGACCGGTCTGTCGGAACCAATCGTGGTCGTAAGTCGAGCACTAGCTGTACAATAAATTCTGTTATCTCTCTTCTGGGAATCTATCAGCACTTCACAACTCCTTCAGTAATATGCTATCCTGCTCCAAAAAGCATGGTGCATTCCCATGTCTCTAGTTTCCAAGCAGAGGGAATAATCGTTTTATTGTCTCCTTTTGCCCCTATGGGGACATGAGCCAATTCACTACCCCTATTTACTTATTCATGGATCTCTCTATCCTGTATATCTTATATTCTTATTCAGTAGTCATGTCACATATTTAAATACGATCTGAAAGGCTGACAGAGTAACGCAGCTAAGAAAAGATGGTAGAGAAACAATAAAATGATATGAGATAGAGTATTTGATACTTTTAAGTCAGAATGGGAAGAAAATATTTGTAAGGATAAAACAATATATCTGCATTTTGGAGTATACTTGTACTTCCCCAATAAAACTTTTGCTTGGTTTACAAAAAAAAAAAAAAATCTGCATTTAGCTTGGTTTACAAAAAAATAAATAAATAAATCTGCATTTAGCCAGTTCCTTTGTGAAGCTCTGATAAAATATGCATAAAAAAAGACAAGCCAATGGGGAGTAATCTATACATCTGGACATATACGCCTTAATAGTACCTTGGCCAGATCCTACTGTATTTGTAACATGGTGTCAAAAGTTTTTATTTGGGTGCAATTCAACCATAAATGGAGAATGGGAGCCTCATCCTCCTGGACTTCAGTGAGTTACAGTTTTAGCATGCTTACCTCTACAAGCCTGCTGGTGTGTTCATGAAATATCGCAGCATATTCTTTTATTTCCTTTTCCCGGCCATTCTTAGCAGCTTCAATGAGAACCAAAAGTGGGACTGTCGTATCCAAGAAAGAGTCTGACACATGATCTATAATAGCCTTGCGGAGCTGAGAAAAAATGAAAAATTTAGGTTTTTTTTTTTCCCAAGAAATAGTTCATGGTATTTCCTTTTCTTACAATCTCAGCAGTTAGTTATACACCTCATTTTATTCAGTTTTTGTACAATTCCTAAAATCACAATCCTTAAGGGTATATAAGAATGTCCCTTAAGAAACTAAAAAACAAAATATCCACGTGAAAAAAAAAATCATCTAGCAGTAGTTCCTTTCAACTCAAAAGTAATTTTTCTTAAGTTGTATTTAACCAGAAGTCAGATTTAAAATGGTAATACTTTCTTTTCTGTTCGAAGAAATTGTGCTATTAGAATGTTTATGCATGTGTACAAATAACATTGTACATCTTGTATTTTCATAATTATAAATTATAAAATGTTGTCTACCTTGTTGGAGGAATTAATGATAAATTTTGATTAGCTAAATTGTAGACTTCATGGTAATTAAGCCAAGTTAGATCACCGATTATGCCAGTTGATAACAGATTAATAGAGCAAGAAGAATAATAAATGAGTTTGATGTCCAATTTTCCCCATTTGCATTAATTGTTCTTGCCCTCACACATTAAATTATTAAACAACTATAATATTCTGCTACAATTAGTTCTTTTAAATTAGATTACATGTAAGCTTATTAATGACAATTAGGTAATTACTCAGCAGATATTTTCTGAGATTTAAAACTGCATTGAAAAATTAATTCATTGTATTTATATAATATTGAATCTTTAAAGATCATAGTATCAGGCTGGGTGCAGTGGTTCATGCCTGTAATCCCAGCATTTTGGGAGGCCGAGGCAGACCAATCACAAGGTCAGGAGTTTAAGACAAATCTGGCCAACATGGTGAAACCCTGTCTCTACTAAAAATACAAAAATTAGCTGGGCATAATGGCAGGCGCCTGTAATCCCAGCTACTTGGGAGGCTAAGGCAGGAGAATTGCTTGAACACAGGAGGCTGAAGTTGCAGTGAGCCGAGATCATACCACTGCACTCCAGTCCGGGTGACTAAGTGAGACTCTGTCTCAAAACAAACAAACAAACAAACAAAAGATCATAATATCCTGAAATGTTTCATTAACAATGTCAATGATTGTGAACGGGCCCAAAGGTTTTTGAGTCAACCTCTGATTTAGTTTAATAAACCCTGTACAATAAAACAAAAAAGAGAAATAGCTATCAGATAGAAAAATGTAATTTTTGTGTGAAAATTATATTTTAGAGCATTTTTTAAACCAATAGACAGCCTAGTTTTAGATTACTTGAGAATGAATAGTAATACATTTTCAGAGAGCTGAATGATACAGTTACATGGAAAGTACTGTCCTCTATAATGATCATAGAATAATAAATCCATTAAATAATTACAGGTTTCTGGAAGAAAAATACCTCTGCCCAAAATACTGAGCTTGCTCAGAAGCACTGTGAAATCTTCTAACTATCAACAATTTAAGAAAGGCTTCAGGAAGATCCACAAGAAAGGATTCTGCTTAGTATACAGAAAGACAAATTACTAGTGGCAATTAATTAATATTTGTTGAGCACTTATTAGGACAGAGCATAGAGTGCTAAGGGGTTACAAGGCAAAGGGAAGATCTTAAGTGAATGAATAATGTGTTTGCTGTCTACAGGAAGTAGACCAGGGAAGTCAGGCAAGAGGTCACAAGTTTTTTTGAGGTGGGAACTACAGGTTGGGTAAGTTTGAGGTGGGAACTACAGGTTGGGTCACAAGTTTTTTTGAGGTGGGAACTACAGGAAGAGAAAAATAGAGATTCCTTCTAATTTCTCAGAGTGGGGGCATTTTTTAATGATTACCCTCTCCTTGATTCTTTTCTTCTCTCATTCATAACTGGGACATGTAGAAGGAAAGCTCAGATGAAATCTACACTACAGATATGACGTGAAGAGCCAGCCTATGGGAACTAAGTCAAGTGAAGAGTGTGGATGAGACCATATAGAGTGAGGAGACCCACGAAGGACTTCTTAGGAAACACTACCATTTACAGGAGTCATGCAGATTAAAGAGGAGGGCCTAAAAAGAGACTGAGATAATAGCCAAGAAACAGAGACAAATGATCAACAACTAAAAGACAACCTTTGAAATATGTCTCTGTAGTTATCCTATCAAACACAACTATAACATTCATGTCATGGATTTGTTAAATCTTCTCTTCTGTGTAAATTATTTGCTCGATTCAGTAAATGTTCCTGGAAACTGTTTCCTCACCTTTCTACCAAGAGAAAGGTATTGAAGGAAATGTCAAGATGGAAATTCATGGTTCCTTATAATCCAGTAGAAGAGCGAGTATTACAATAATGCATTAAGTATCATTATATATATCATATTAGTACATTAAACATGAAAACAATGAAAAACCCAGAGACTGACAGCAAACAAGTTTAGAATCAAATTTTAAAGATAAGTTAAATTTAAAAGAAAAAAAAAGGAAAGAGACTTGCCCATTGGGCTTGACTACTAAGAGGCTATTGATAAACTTGGTAAGATTAGTTTCGGTGGAAAAGTTGGGGCAGGAGTCCGATCGCTATGGTTTGAAGGGTGAGTGAGAGATAAGGCAGTAAAGACAGTGAGTATAAACTCCTTTTTAAAATAATATGATTGTGACATGAAGAAGCAAAACTTGGTATTTGCTACTCTGAGATACATGTTTAAAGAGTGACTGTTTTTCATGTAAAAGACTCCGCTATAATTTCCCATCTGCAATTATATCCAAAAAGTCTTATTACTCCCCTTTGCTTTTCTGGAAATACATATTGATTTATTGCCCAAGCAAGAATGAGAGGTGAAAAGCAACTATTGTTTCACATTGTACCAACCTTTGTAATCTTTTTGTCTCACGACAGAGGGAAATATCCAGAAATCAGTGACTTGTGTTGGACATGAATGAAACCTTTAGGAGCTAGCACATGGTCAGAAGCAGGGAGGTATGTCTCCACTAAAATCATCTTAACCCATGCAAAAACAAAGCATAACTAATTCAGCCAACCACAATATTCTCACCAGTCCCTGTCTAACTTTCTGGTTCATGATCCCTTACCTTCGCTATTATGAACTACATTACAGACGTTTGGTGCCTTATAGCTCATCCCCTGGATCTATCTCTGATTTCAGCTTTTGCTGGGGGCGACAGTTCCACGTCCTCTGAAGACAATCCATGCTCCTTGTGTGCATTCCTTGTGTCTCTTTTTTATGCTGTCTCAGGACCTGTTCCAAGTTTACGTGGAATTCTCAACCCAGCATAAACACTGCCTGAAAGTTCTTCAGAGTCCGCACCACTGAGGGAAACCTTCAACCTTATGGGGATAGGAGCTACCACATAAAATTCCTAGCCTCCATCCATTAGCCAGACAATTCTGGGAAACATTCTGTTAGTTCTCAGAGCTCCTCAAGTTCTTATTGCCTACAGCAGCATATCATTTCCTCTTTCCCTGCCTTGCTTTTCAGGTTCTATTACACTTGCTTCCAGGAATCACCTCCTAAATAAACGACCTGCACTAAGGCCCTAGTTTTAGGCACTGCTTTCAGGAAAACCCATATAAAACAGGTACCTTTTTCTGGTGTTAATATTGTTGGATTATGCGCCAAGTAGGAGACTCCATTGTCTTACGTAAACTACTCATTGCTGATTATACTGTACTACCTCAGCTCTGTATATCACTGGGGTTTGTTCTGCCATACCCTAAATTATACTCACTGTAAAAGGGGAATTATTATGAAATAGGACTAGAAATCTAGATAGGGACAAGATGTAAAAGGTCTAGAATGTTACACTAAGCAATTTTCTTTATATGTTCTTACATATTCATATGGGATTGTTTTCATTAAATTGTACAGTCATATATACCTAAATATAATACCAAAGTAGCCTCTATCTTATTTATTTCCATATTGTTTTCCTGCTCAGTGGTACAATGCATTCCTTTCAGTTGGGTGACATACAAAAAGTTTAAAGAAGAATCCAATATGCCAATGTAGAAATAGAAGCCACAGCACTAAAATCTGAAGCTAGTGGGAGCCCAATAGGAATTACAGGTACACACTTTCAATAAATACCTGTTTGTGGCCAGGCATGAAAGATGTTAGAACAAAACCAAACTGAGGTGCTTTTCATCTTTTCTCACTACAGTTTAATAAAAGGCTTCGAGACATCAATTTTTCTATTTCCTACTGATGTAAGTGGTTTGGGATCTCAAAATAATATATATCTCTACAATTGAAACCCAAAAGTGAAAGCCCTGTGTGAAATGTCTAAAAAAGCCCCACCATTCCCACCAAATACAGGAATAGAAAGAATGAAATTATGAGGGAAAGGGAATAGAAAGAGGAAAAAGTATTTCAGAAAGAAATTATCCTCAGGGAAATAGAAAAACACATTTAAAGTATTTTAAATTAAAATATTTATTAAAATGTTAAATACTGTTAATGTATTAACAGTATTTAAAATACATTAACAGTATTTAAATACATTAACAGTATTTAACATTTTAATAAATATTTTAAATTAAAAGCCATTTTAATTTAAATCAAATAGCAAAATGTGATTTTCAAAGCTCGTCTAACAGGAATTAAATCAACTAATAATTATTTCACTGTGTATGTCCTATGTCAGTTTAGTGAAACTTGCCTTTTGTGGATACACAATATTATTTGATGATGAGGATGATGACCAGGAGGTATTAAGCCTACATATTTCTTTCTGAGTGGTGAGCTAGTATTATGCAACATGGAGGAGAGATGGAACTAACAATTCAGAAACTCAGCAACTAAAGAAGTAATCAAGTTTTGTTTTGTCTGTTTTCATCAAAATCCCATTTTATTTGACACAGTTCATCTTTACTTTGGCATTTATGAAATAAAAAACATTTTTTAATATACACAAATAAAAAGTTTAACCTGCCTTTAGTAAAATGACATATATTTTTACTATCCATAATACAATAGAAATAAAATATATTTGTTGCTTAATTTTTTAAAATAAAGTAAAGGATGTTTAAAAAGTCTTCCTCCTCTTATTGAGAGAGTTGCAATAGGTATGCAGTTTTCAAATGAATGATGGAAAAGGAGGCTAAAGAAAGAAGAGAATTTAATTTTCAAAAAGGATTTAAAACAAATGATAAGAAAGAAAAGAATTTGTGATGATAAAATCAGTGATTTAGGCACTGGCGAGTTCTGAAAGTGAGTAGGCCACATACGGGCTGGGGTTGGATGAACCTGTGCTAGAACTGTGTCTCTATCACTTACCTGGGTGATGTCTGCTGGTAACTCATTTTGGGTGACAGAGATAACAATATCATGGCATTAGTTACTGTTTTAGGTGAAAAAAAGTAAATAATGTGTAATAAATATGCTGGCTAGAGAGCTTTGGAAAGCATTCAGTAAATGAGAGATGTCATCACTATCATTATAAGGACTTAAAATGCAGTGGGAAGAAAACTCATTGCAAAAGAACAAAATACAAGAAGAATATAATGATTGCTACAATACAAGTGCACAAGCTATCAGTGTTCCAGGAAGAAAAAGATCCATTCCAGCTTGTGAAAACAGCAAAGGTTTCGTGGAAGCAATAACATTTACACTCCTCTGAAAGTAGTTGCTTAAGTGTTGGGGGTGTGTGTAAGGGGACTGAGTGGAGAAGCCATCAAGCTGTAGAAGTCATACGTGCAAAGATGCAAGTGTGTTTGAGCAGGAGGTGATGCAAATTCTGGTAAATAACAAATAGACTCTTGTCAGAAAATGGGGTGATGTGTTGGTGTGATGAGGAGGAGACAACACTGAGAAGGAAAGCTGAAGGAAAAGGAACATTACGAATAATGGAGATTAAGTCAGGGCCAAATCACAGAGAACCTAGAACACCATGTAAGAACATTTGTCTTAGTTCTCTAGTAAAACAGGCAAAAAATCACAGAGGAAGAAGGTTGAAAGAAATAAATACTCGCCTCCTAGAATATTCCATCTCGATTATCCTCAAATCTATAATTTGCTGCTTCTTCTCAGATATTTCTAAGCAATCGCTGTCATTCCTCATGGAAGAAGTCCAATCATCCTCTGAACCAAAGCTAACATGTTACTGAGTTACTGACAGAAAAGCCACAGTTAAGAAAGGGGATAGGATGAATGGGCAGGAAAACGGGCTCTGCTTATTTTTTACTAATTTTTTTTTAAAAGAGAAAACCAGTTCTAAAGCAAATGATGAACATTAAATACTCCAAAGAAAAACACTTTAAGGGCAATGCTTTCTCTTTACTGTGAGAAGAACTATATGTGAGATGCTTAAAACAACTGTTGGATAAACTTCGCAAGAATAAGAAGTGGAGATAATTTATGTGGCTGTTTTAATTAACTGTGATTTCTACCAAAAGTGTAAACATCAGGATGAAAAATAAAGTACTTGGGGGAGGATAAGTGAGGATAATGTAAAAGAATCATAGCAACTAACTTCGTCAAAATGGAAGATCATGGAGGAGTTCAAAGATAGCTTCTAACAATTCCATCCATTCCTGTATACAAATATTTCTCCTACAAGAGACAGAGCTTCTCCCTGCTCCTGTTGAACTAGGACAGGGTGTTTGACTGTCTTGACTTATAGAACATGAAGGAAATAGCTTTCTCTGACTTTGGACCTAAGACACTAAGAATGCCTGTTAGCTTCCATCTCCGTTTTCTTGGCAACTTGAAACACCATGTAAGAAATCTAGGCTGGGCACGGTGGCTCTCTCCTGTAATCCCAGCACTTTGGGAGGCCAAGGTGGGTGGATCATAAGGTCAGGAGGTTAAGACCATCCTGACCAACATGGTGAAATCCCATCTCTACTAAAAATACCAAAAATTAACTGGGTGTGGTGGTGTGTGCCTGTAGTCCCCGCTACTTAGGAGGCTGGGGCAAGGGAATCATTTGAACTCAGGAGCCAGAGGCTGCAGTGAGCCGAGATCACATTACTGCACTCCAGCCTGGTGACAGAGTGGGACTCCATCTTTAAAAAAAAAAAAGAAAAAGAAATTTAGGCTACCCTGCAAGAGATTGAAGGGTCTCTTTAGGGAGGGTCCCTAAAACATTAGGCACTATATGGAAAGAGGGAACAGGAAGAAGCATTGAGGTTCCAAAAGTCAAGTCCCAAATCTAGCCACAGTTGCCATTTGACTGCCACTATGTGAAAAACCACAAGTGAAAACAGTACAGAATATGGCCCTGCAGATACTCAGCCAACCCAAGGCATCGTGAGATACAAATATGGTTGCTGTTGGTTGTGGTGGTTTGTTAAACACTGGTAGAAACAATGGAGATGTTAACCTGTGAAACCATACGGAATGTTAATACCTTCAGAGCACAGCAGTTTTCTAACGATGGAAGTATCTCCTTACTATGAAGAACAGTATCAGTAATCCCCAATGCTATTTCTATGTCTCACTGATGGTAGTGAGGTGGAAACACAAGTAGGATTGCAAGATAAAATACAAGATGCTCAGTTACATTTGAATTTCAGATGAACAGCTTTTTAAATATAAGTATGTACCATACAATATTTGGGACATAATTATACAAAACCATGTTTGTTGTTCATCTGAAATTCAAATTTAACTGGGTGCCTTGTGCTTTTATTTGCTAAATCTGGTAATTCCACACACAAGTAATTGCATTTTCTTGACTTTATTTAGAAAAATAATAATTCTAAAAACCTTGGAGATATAAATGTAGATTAGCTCTTTATGTATAATGTTGTTGAAGACATTACAGAGGGAAAAGACATGAACGAGAAACACAATCGTTGATAGCTCATAGAAACAACTTTTCTGAGTCCTACGTGAAGCAGATGGGGTAGAAATCCTGAAGAAGACGGAGAATAGAGATCATTCCACAAAGCGGAAGGATGGCTCTGAGGATATAAACTTCTGTGTCCTGATACAGGTCCTGACTCAGTGCCCCATCCTCATAGGCAGGACACCTCACCACACTGGCCTGCTTTCTCATTTGCATCATAAGACAGGTTGTGCTAAGTTCCTTCTGACTCTTACATTCCATGATTATAAGTGTTAATGATAGAAACAGAATTCACATTAAAGCCATAAAGTTGAGAAACTGAGATTTTCACAGATGTGAAAATTATGTTTTTATGCAGCTATTATTAACTGGTTGGAGATCCCTATTTATTTCATTTCCAAGTCTCCTTCTGAATTAAAAGATTGTTCAGCCATTTTACTAAATCTGGCCATTAAAATACACTAATATATTGCATTAAAAGCTTATAGTTGAATAGCTTTTTGCCCCTTTTGATGAGTTAATGATGACCAAGTTAAAGTTGTGCATGAGAAAGAACCCTGGTTATTAAACAGAGGAAAGGAATGAAGAGCAAATATCTTTGAAAATAGCTAAGTCTTCCTATTACTGGAGAAATGTTTAACTTGTGGCATAATACTAGACTTCTAAATTGTTTAATGAAGTTCTTTCTAATCCCGTGTTCCTGATGACCTAAGGTTAAAAAAAAAAGCCTTAACTTATACAAAAACTAATTTTTGAAGTATCCTGAAAAAAAAAATGGAAGGAGGGTTTGATAGGCTCTCTGAATTACTTACTAGTTAAGCATTTGGATATAAGCATTTAGATGATAAATTCTCATGTAATAGAATCAATTTATCAACGTTCCCTAAAAACAAGCTATGGATCAGGAACTTATATGAATTTTAGTGATTCCTTACAACCCTATTGCAAATTGTTAATTTCATCTTATAGGTTCAAGGAAGCTCAGAGAGATGAAATTTGTACCCAAGATCTCATAACCAATGAGGACAGAACCAGGATTTGAATGTAATTTTGTCTGATAAGGCACACATTCTTCCTTCTACTTTATGTTGGCCACAAAAACATCTGAGGTATGAATATATAACGGAAAGTAGATATTTACTGTTCTCTTTCTCATTCTAAATTAATTTGAAAGACAAAACAAGAAGTAAATATGCCTGCAATGAGTAACAGTTTCATTTGGCAAGTATGTTTCTGTCTCCATATCTCCCTCTTCCCTCACCTGTCTGCGAAGGTCCCTTGTCTTCTTACACATGTTGTCTAAAGCAGCATTCAGGGTATTACTCCTTTCTTTTTTTCCAGTCTGCAAAGAAGAAAAAAATGACATAAGCAATGGTATCAGTTAATCTTTATCACTTAGAAATTTGCTTTCTGAATTTCCTGAAAATAACAGCTTGAAATTCAAGAATAGGTTTCAAAACTGCTGTATTATATATGATTCATGAGCATTTCGCTTAAGACTAAGTAGGATGGTGATTAAAGCTCACGTTATTTTCATGTTTAAGCTTCTGTAATATTTCCGATACAGAGTTACGTTGTATTCGGTGTGACAGTAGGCAAAACATTATCTTCATGAAACTCTGATCTTCGTTTTTTACAAGTCAAATCTTAAATCACTAAGCATGCAATTAGCTTAAAAGCATTAGATGCCCAATTTGTCAACTTCTGTGGGAGTTTTTGAAGTCATTTCTACGGTGTATTGTGTAAGTTATGCAGAACCATATTGGAGTTTTGCTAAACACTAAATAAAATATGCAGTGCAAATTCATACAATTTGCAAAAGTTGACCACAATTTTAGCTGACAATATTCCAAGAACAAATTGTTTTAAGTAAGAACTGGACGCTGTTTTTGGCTCTTTCAGATAATTTGTACAACACCTTTTTATTCTTTAAGCAGAACAGCTCTCTGTTATATCCTTAACCTAAATCTTTAGGCTATTAAGCACATAGAGAGTCACCTTGGTTGGTATTTTCTACATATTATTTTTGTGGGAGACAACTGGATTAAATCTAATCATACTTTTTTCAGTGATATCTCATATAAAAGAGATTGGAAAAAATCATTATGTGATTCACCTCTAAGAAAATTGCTGCTATTTAAATTAATAAACTGAAAAGGGCTCTTGAGAGGAGACCTTGAAAATCAGGAAGGCAAGTTTAAGCAGCTGATAACTGAAGGAGCTTACATTGCGAACTCAATGAAAAAGGACACTGAGGCCAAGTATAAACCACGAAGCAGCATGTTTGACCCTTTCCTCAATGACTAAACTCACGCATAAACCCATACTCTCCAGTGGACTCCTTAACAAGAAATTAAAACACTGTCTATACTCTGTCTTAACCTACTTTTTAGTCTTATGAGCTGCCATAGCCTCTCAAGTACTCTCCTTTACAGTAGCAATATTCCTATGCTTTTCTGTCTGTTCTCCTCTGTTCTTACACGTAATGTACATTTGACTTCAGGGAGCATCTTCTGAAGTCCTATCAATTCTTCACCAGTTTCCAGATGGAGTTCTTCCAACAACCTTGTTCAAAAGTAAGCTCTCACCTTTCCTTTTTCCAATAGCATTTTGAGCATTTTTCAATATACTCATTTTATTTATGTGCATGTACGTCACTCTTAACGATACTGTTAGAATCTTGATATTAGCAAATATATCTTAAATTTTGTCTATTCCTGATAGTAACTTACATAGAACTTATTGAAGAGTTGAATACTTGATAAATATAAATGAACAACTTAATTCAAAACACAATTAGAGGCCTACCATTTTCCACAAAGATGTCATTCTAGAGACTCTGAAGGAGATTTTAGCATTTAGCTCTCAAAGCAGAGCTAAAGTTCTCTCTGAGGTGAGGTTGCTGGTATATACCTCAACCTCAGGTCAACCTATATTTTTCCAGCAGCAGTGTCACTGATATTTAAGGTGTGAAAAATAACCATCATTGGAGATCATTCTATACACTGCAAGGTATTTGGCACGCATAAACCCAGGTGTGCTAAATTCCAATACCAAATCGGATGCACTGTAACAGCCATAAGTTGGCACCGTATATGTCCAGCTACCTCCTATAGGGAGACAGAGTAGAAGGCCACTAAGTCTTTACCATGTTTTAGTTTCGTATAAAGAGAGTGTGGAATGTGTACATGTTGGAAACGGTGTCTAGTGAAGAGAGAAGAAAAAGGAAACAAGAGAGATTTGGTTAGGTTATTTCTATGAGCACTAATAATATTCTGAATATCAGAGCAATAGCAGCAATTACACAGATCAAAGTTGTGGCTACCTTCACAGCTCCTATCCAGCATTCTCTGTGCTAGCAGTGAAGAATTATGAAGGGTTAACTCATGACTATACAGGACAATAGCATAAACAGATACACAATGAGCTATGAGACAGTTTCTAATTTTACCCAAAGAACCCAGCCCTTATTCTCTAGTTTTATGCAGTGCTTGCTCTTGGTCGTATCGCTTTCCACTTCATGAAAGCAGAGACAATAAAAAAGGGGCAGAAGTGGGACAGAGACCTCCTACACATGCACACACACGAGCACACACACACAATCAGGTATAATATCAGAGACTCCTGTTGTGTTGGCTGTAAAAACCCACTAGCTTCTGTGGGTGTGATTCATCAGAAGAACTAAAAGATGTCAGCCTTCTCAGAGCTAGCAGCAGAAGCATACCAAACTTTAAATAAAGGATGACAGGAGGTGACAGCACACAGAGATTCAATAAGGACTATAAAAATTATTCCCTAATTTCTGTCCAGAGCTTAACCCTAGTTTAAAATATTTCACTGGATCAAAGACATTTCGTTCTCTAGGTAATAATAACAGTCCCTCTCATGACACGAAGTTTAAAGGTCTCCCTTCTTGCGTTTTGCTCACCTGATGCATTATCCCCCACCACAATCACCTTTCTTCTTTTTCACCTCCAGCTTTTTATTGGATCCTTGCTCGATTTATCTAGATTTATTTGGCTTCAGTCAAGCCACTTTATGCCTCTTTATTCCCTTTGCATAGCATAAAAATAAATAAGGCAAGGAGAAATAGCCCCATCCAGCTTAAAGACTCTCATTCCTTCTTTTTTCAAAGCCTTAACAAATCATCAAGCAATGAGCTAGGACTAAAGGTGAATTCTGTGTTCTGAGGCAAGAGATGGAAAGGGCAGGATATTAAAACACAACTGCGAATAACACTCAGAACCTGCCTATAACCCAAGAGCTCAGAAAAGAGACTGCCCCTTAAAGGGATTCTTAAAAGGAGCCATCATTAAGTCAGCAAATCCCTGCTAATGGAAAAAGCACCACTTACAGTGGAGTGTCAGGCAGAGAGACCTGAGAACACATGGCAAAGGTCAGCACTGTATAGAGAAAGCAGTCACATTCTTCTGTAAACAAACTGCAAAGAAAGACTTTATAGAAAAAAAAAAAAAAAATTCTGGGTTGGGCATGGTGGTTCACACCTATAATCCCAGAACTTTGGGAGGCATAGGTGGGTGGATCACCTGAGGTCAGGAGTTCAAGGCCAGCCTGACCAACATGTGAAACCCTGTCTCTACTAAAAATATAAAACAATTAGCCAGGCACAGTGGCAGGCACCTGTAATCCCAGCTACTCAAAAGGCAAAAGCAGGAGAATCACTTGAACCCGGGAGGTGGAGGTTGCAGCAAGCCGGGATTGTGCCATTGCACTCCAGCCTGGGCAACAAGAATGAAACTCTGTGTCAGGAAAAAAAAAAAAAAAATTCAGAGAATGGATTTCATTCAATGAAATTGTATTAAAATTATTACCTGTTATAAATACTGTCCTAATGCGATCCAGGCTAATTATACTTGTATAATCTTAACTAGGAGTCTCTCCATCAATTGTGCCTCGTCATCGATCCCAAATAACCCACAATCAATTGCGCTGTCTCTTGTGGTTCCCTTAAAGCTGTCCACACATTTGGAGAAAGTCTCTCGAATTATCTTAATCTCAGTGTTTCTAATCATCTGCTTCCTGTTGAGGCTCTGCAAGGAAGAACTTCTTAACACTGTGTTGTCCGATATAGAAAACACAGTGTTACATGTGGTAATTTAAATTTAGTGTAAATTAATTAATATTAAATGACATTAAAAATTTAGTTCCTTACTTCCTTAATTTAAATGTGCCTAGTGGCTATTGTATTGTACACCACAGTCATAGCGCATTTCCATCATTACAGGAAGATCTATTAGATAGTGTTGTTCTAAAACATACATTTCCTTGTTTATTCAAATATCTAATGAGTTTCTACTTTTATGCCAGTCATCTTTTAATTAGATAAAAGCAAAATAACTGATCAACATGGTGAAACTCTAGCTCTACTAAAAATACAAAAATTAGCTGGACTTGGTGTTACATGCCTGTAATCCTAGCTACTTGGGAGGCTGAGGCAGAAGAATTACTTGAACCTGGGAGGCAGAGGTTGCAGTGAGCCGAGATCATGCCACTGCACTCCATCCAGCCTGGGCCGCAGAGCAAGACTGCGTCTCAAAAAAATAAATAAATAAAAATAAAATAAAATAGTAAATAAGAAATAGACAACCAAAAACTCCCAACCCTGAAGGGGCTTAATCCCTAGTGGAGAAACATGAGGTCAAATTATGTCCCTTCTTTGCTCTAAAAGCCTTCACTCTACCCCTACTGATGAAATTAAGAACAAAGTCTCGATCACTGTGTTCAAAGCCTCCTATAATCTACTTCCATATTTACTTGTCAACCACTAGTGAGACATCTTAATAGGTCTTTTGTATTCTCTGCAATATGATTACAACTCAAGAACTCTGCCTGTATAAATACCTCTCTTTTCACTTCCTGTCTCCTACTTTTCTGGTTATGGACCTCTTGTTATCTTTCTCTCTTTTTTTTGAGACAGAGTTTTACTCTGTTGCCCAGGCTAGAGTACAGTGGTGCCATCTCAGCTCACTGCAACCTCTGCCTCCTGGGTTCAAGTGATTCTCTTGCCTTAGCCTCCTGAATAGCTGGGATTACAGGTGCCCACCACTACACCTGGCTAATTTTTTTTTGCACTTTTAGTATTTAGTAGAGATGGGGTTTCACCATGTTGGCCAGGCTGGTCTCGAACTCCTGACCTCAGGTGATCCACCTGCCTTGGCCTCCCAAAGTGCTGGGATTACAGGCATGAGCCACTGTGCCTGGCCTGGTTATGGACCTCTTTCAAGGTATAACTCAATTACTAAATTTTACATAGGGGCTTTGTTGATCTTATTTGCAATTAATGACTCTCTCCATTATACTTTCTTACAGTTCTTATACATC